TCACAGGACAGTTATCACGCAATAACCCCCGTCCGCGTCGATATTTGTCCTCCGATTTTTTTCCGTGAAAAAGAAACATAGTCAACACAAGAGTTTCACCTTTTCCGTTCTCCTATTTACATGGAAGGAAACCAAACTCGTTTCTTTGAGTCTAGCGATAGTGACATTAAGGATAGCGACAGTGACATTTATTTAGCGATAGCGACATTTCTTTCTAGCCAAGTTTTTGAACGTCGGAAAATGAGAACCAAAAGCGCCAAGTTTTCAAGTTTTTGATCTAAGGGGCGTTATGAGAGTTAATATCAAATGACAGCTTGTCAAGTTTGGGGTCCAATCACACTGAAAATAAAGTTATTTAAACCAATCAAATGTACTTGCTTGCTTGTGTCAATCACGCGCATTCGCCATCAGATCACCACTGACTTTTTTACTGTGTTTACGCGCAGTTTAATTGCGATGTGAAAATTAATGGGAGGGTTGTAAAATAAATAAACCCCGTTCTGGCTTGTTGGTATGTCGGCTGATAATGTCCTTGGCTGAGAGATTGTCCGAAAAATAAATATTTGCCCTCGAAGCTTCGCTTCTCGACCAAATATTTATTTTTCGGACAATCTCTCGGCCAAGGACATTATCAGTCGACATACCTGCCGCCCGAAGGGGTTTATTTACTGAATACCTGCCCCACCCCACCCCTTATTCCCCGGGCTTTCTCGTCGTCTCTCTTAGGGATGTGATTCATGGGACTACTTATGGAGCAGCTTTCTGGTTGTCATCGACGAAATATTAAAATGTCTTCGTGTTATTGCGAGTTGATTAGATAGTGAACTCTCGGCGACTTCTAGAACGAACAGAATCGTCTTTAAATCGTGGTATTACTGTAACTCTAATTTGTGTGTGTTTGTCAGAATACTGGTGCACGTGTCTTCATGAGAAAACATGAGCTCAAGGTCTATTTGGACTTGAAAAGCTTAGTAAAATGACGCAAAGATTGGTCTGCCCCATTGAAAAATTAACCAAACTCATAGCCATGACTATGGGAAACTGAAGAAATTTCTTAAGAAAATATCTACTTTGAAAGACCATTAAGTTCGTCCCTTTGACCCCAGTCTTCTCTCTTCCCTATCTTCTTCTCGAATGAGCTATGACGTCACACTACGTTCACAACGTTTCCTCAAGGAAGAATTTTATTACGGCTAGTGTCTTAGAGCCAGCCTTTGTGTTTCCAGCGCTATAGTCGATAATAACGTTTTATAAGAGTATCCTTAACTTATTTCGTCCGAACTGCTTCGTACACCGCCTCTTGATTTACTACGTTCTGTTCGTAAGATGGCTTTCAGTAATTCTGGCGACGTCGCTGAAATCGCTCAGTTGAATGTTATGCAAAGCATCACAAGCAACGAGGAAATAATTGAAAAAGGTAAGTTGTGGTTAAAAAGATGTGTCAAGTTATCCTGAACACGAGAGGTGTTGGAGAGTGCACTGAATACGCCTCCAGCTTCGTTTAAAATCCGACACAACATTAAGCGCTCGAGTTGGAAAAGTGCCACTGTACTCGTTGGGCTAAATTCGGAGATTATATTGCCTGTAGATAGGCAAATATCAATGAAACAACGGAATAGTATCACATCTTTTACTAGAGCATGTAACTTAGCGAAGAAACTTCGGGAAATGACGGAGTGGGATGCTGTGGAAAGTTGTGCAATCGATGAAGGATCCAGTGTATGCTATTAGTCTAAACACTGATAAGCCGCATAAAATAAGGAAGATGGTGAGCGTGCGGGCCATAATCCACAGTCGATGAGTATGGTATATCCAACATGACTCAAGATCAGCTGAAAGAGTGACTTCATCGAGGCTGTGAAAGATAACTGACACACGTGCTTTTAAAGCTCTTGCCGTAGACACGAAGGCCTCATTAGCATTTCAACAAGGGCTGATTAAACATAGGTCATTTTGCATCATTTTGTAAACACAAATGTCACGCAAATTTTTATTGTTTGCTTCCAGTCAATCCTAAAAGCTTTAGGTCAGTTAGGAGCCGTTCTGATTCATCAATAGATATTAGAACAGTCATTTTCTTTCTTAGATGCCATTTGTTTGCTCTTGCAGTGATAGAGATTTGTTATTAGACTTGTCACATTCATGCTCTATTCTTTAGGACTCCGAGTTTCTGTGAAGAGCATTCTGTACTTCCGGCCGGGCTTCGTTTTTACATGGTCACCATAGGTCGAAATGACCCTACTTTCATTTCTTAATAACTTGCCTCAATTTATATATATTTTTTTGCACATGAGGTGCATAGCAGAGGGGAAAGTATATCATTGTTTTCCTATGCCATGAGTAGTCTAACTACTGTGGTTTTCTCCATCAGCAGGAGCTAATTCAAGTGATGAGAAGGGAGAGAAAGCGGCAAGGCATCACTTCTCTGAGCCTTGGGGAGACAGCGATGTTGTTCTTGTGGTGGAAGATGAAAAATTCCACGTCCATCGCCAGATACTGAGTCTGAACTCACCAGTGTTTAGGGCCATGTTTAAATCTCAGTTTAAAGAGGCAACCGTTAACGAGATTCCGCTGCCTGGGAAAAAAGCCCATGGAGTGTTGGATTTTTTGATGAAAATTTACGGACCTCAGTACACCAGAAAGGAAGTGGAAATCACATGTGAGAATTATTGTTATGGTGGTATAAAACTTCTAGATGCCCATATACTCAGCACGATAGTTGGGCGGCGCCAAGCTTTGCCAACTCCGTGAGGAAGACTTAAACCTATATTATCAAAATATACTAAAACCTAAATTGTTAAAAAAATGAAGACCTAGGAAGATTGTTACTTTTGAAATGGGAAATCTTCCCAGGGACAGGGGCACTAAAATTCATTGTGACATTGTCGGAACATAGAAATCTATGTTGTGAAACAACTGTTCAGCTTAAAATCTAGACTAAGATAACAGCAAAGTACGTGAACGAAGTTAAGCAGAGGCTTTGTATCTGTTTGGAGAAATTTGAAGGGGTTCAGTCAATGTAGACCCTTATATGATTAACAGTTTCGTTTGGGCTGTAGGTGCAATATGCAACTCATGCACTGTCTTTCCTATTTGTTGCTGGTTATCTTTTAATTTATGCTTTTTTGTCTCAGTGGAAAATGTGGAACAACTTATGCAGTTAAGTGACGAGTATCAAGTTACAGAACACATTTTCCAACCCTGCGTGAAGTTCCTTGAATATGAACCTAAAACTAAGGAAAATGTCATGAAGATTCGAGGGATTGCAGAGTTTTATGACCTAGAGAAAGTACGTCAGCAATGCGACAAACTGCTCAGTGGCATGAAGCTGGAGACTCTTTCTGAAACAATCCAGTTTGAAAATGTTGAGAAGGATAAACTGCAACATTTTCTGACGCAGAGGATTGAAGTGTTGGAAGGATATCTGGAGAAATTGTATCCACAATTTATGGGCCTTCTGGCATGTTGTTTGTGGTTGTGGCATGAAGCAAAACGGAACCTGAAATGGTGTTCTACTCATTTCAAGTGCGGAAAAGCGCAAATGAACATTGATAGCTGTATTAAAAAATGTAAGGTTTGTCAAGAAATGCTGGATAATTTGGTTTTATCTACTCAACTTAGTCTATTCTCTAATTTTCCTTATCACACTTATGGCAATGCCAACTTCAATCGTCATCGTTTTGACGAGAGCTTGCAAAATATAATTCATAGATACTCTCAGGTAATGACTTAATAGATGAAATATTACGAAAAGTAGCGCCAATATAACTTGAGTTAATAACTTATTGAGATTCGGTGTACATTTTCACTAACTACCAAGAACAATTTGTATTTCAAGATGAAATTTTCATTGATCTTGAACTTTGAACATATTAATGGCTTTTACGGAGTCGCGAAAAACGGACTCCTCATCATTCGGGAACGGTTGAGATATAAGCTAATATAGCTTATACTCCACTGTAGAGGGTTAACCTAGATCTGAGTTAGGAAAAATTTGTAAAGCATGTATCCATAGGAGGTAAATTTGAAGAGAAAAGAGTTTTCAGAGGTGAGTTTTACGTGTAAGAGGCTTTAGAACAACAAAACATGAGTTGAACACTGATTCTAGCGGGGCAGAAATCGCAAACGTGACTGGAAAGATAAAGTAGACACATGTTTTTTTTTTTAAGCACTGTATAGGATGCTTTAAACCCGAAGGGCTCTGTACACTGTTTTCAAATGTATTTCTAATCGTAAATAGAGTTAAAATTAAATTTGTAAAAGATATTTGATAGAAATGGATGTTTCACGTAATAAAACTTGGAGCATTTTGTTGAACATGCATTTGTAAAACATGCACTATACGGATTGTTTACACCGTCTATGTATAATAAAGGATTTTCTGAGAAGAAAAAAATCCTTCTCCAGCTTCGACAGTTGACGATTTGTTCTGTTACCTATGCATGATCAGACGGTTAGCATTTGGTTAAATTCTGATTTTTCATACGGTAGCCCCAGACGTGCTTCGATTTTTCTTAACAAAAGACATTCGTAAATCGAACGTTATCAAGGAGGAGACATTCGTATTCCTGGGTGGAGGAAAGCATTGTATGGGTAAAGTAACTTTCCCCAAAACATAACCCTGGATTTCTCACACTTCCATCAGTAGAAAACGTGGATTACCTTCTCAAGTTAAGGGAGGAATATCAGTGCAGGCGTAGGTGAATAAGCACTTGCTAATCACTTCCGTATTAGCCGATCAGCAATAAAAATAGCAGTAATCACGTATGTGATAAACTAATTAACTATTCACCGAAGTTAGGATGGCTAGTTTACAACTATTCACTGAAGTGGAGGTGGTAAGTGGTGGATAGTTGTTTTAGTATATACTAAAACAGTGAGATAATATACACCAAAAATTGATTTTAATTCATACATTCCTGCAACGATTCCAACATTTTCACGCGCGGAAAGTGATTTTTTTGTTGTAAGCTCTGCCGTCTCGTTTTCTCGCTGACAGATAAAATTACGTTCTAATTTGCTGCGCTCAGACGAACGTAAATTATTCTCTCCTTAAATACTATAGAAATACAACACCAAAGGAATGATGGTTGGATGCCCAGGCAATCCAACCCAACGCGAGACATCACAAAGAAAATAAAAGGTCTTACCGCGAAAAAGCTGAACGTCGCTAGCAGATTTAAACTTTTTAGAAGCATTGCCACAGTTAGCTTTAAATTTCTTCCTTTTCTTTTCTGCCGATATCTTAGCCCTCCGAATTTTCTTTTCATCTTCAGAGTCGGAAGCAAGCTCGTCCGACTCGTATTCCTGCCCAACCAGCCACCCGTCTTTGCTTCTATCTGCGAGCTTTATTAACTTCTGTCGTCTCTTTATGAGCTGTCGCCCTTCTGCCACCAGCTTGCGGATCTCTTGCGGTTCGTTCAGGCTGACCTCTATCTGACCAAAGATGTGGTCCAGTAGGGCATTTAACTCGAACTGCTTCCTATTACCCTTGAATTTGAACTCGGCGGCTTCCTTAACGACTTTCGACTTTCCTTCGAGCTGCTTGCTTTGTTCGTCGAGTTGGGAGGACAGATAGGTTTTGAAAAGAGAGAACACTTGATCTACCAAAGGTGGATTTGATTGTTCTTGCTGTGATGAAGAGTTTTCCGTGACTTCGGGTGCCGGAGTGATAACGACTTCTGCTTCTGATCGAGCCGTCTTACTGTCCATTGCTACAACTTCGATGTCAGCGTGGAAAGCGAGAGTGAGAGGACTA